AGAAAGAAATATGAGTTTGGCTATTCACGTGAAACTCATGACATTATTAACATATTAGCCCTAGTAGAAAACTATTGTACGATCACACTGAATTACCAAGTGAAAAGATCCAAAAGATGTGGTTGAGCTAGTAGAAGCAATGAAAGGTCAGGACCTACCTAACCGCTTACTTTGTCGCGACGATCACTGGTTTGATACTTTTTTTTCCACTGACCCCACTCATACCTGCAATAGGATTTCAATGTTGGGAACATGAAGCCACAGATTTACTATGAGTTCCCCACAGCTTCACTGCAGCTGTCTGTCACCAACCCCACAGCCCTCCACAGTGCTTTCTCCTTATTTATTGATTTTATTAATATCCCCCAATTTTTTTATTTAAAGAGTTTCAATCTACCAAAAGGCAAAAGCTAATACAGTAAGTACCTGTATACCACTATCTTTGACTCACCAAATGTCATCTCTTTGCTGTATTTCTGAGCTTGCTCCACCACTCTTAGACCTTTTTTCCTGAACCAGCTGAAAGTTGCAGATGTTATAACACTGCCTCTAACACCCACATCTCAAAAGAACAAGAGCAGTGTCCTACAAAACCACAGCACCACTGCTGCACCTAAAGAAATTAAAAGTAATTCCATAATATTTTCTAATATTCAACTTTCCCCAATTGTCACCAAATAATCTTTTATTTTAATTAATTAATTAATTTTTTGGAGAGAGTGGAAGAGAGAGGGAAAGACAGAGAAACATCAATGTGAGAGAAACACATTGATTGGTTGCCTCCTGCACACGCCCTGACCAGGGCCGGGGCCTGGGAGGAGCCTGCAGTTGAGGTATGTGCCCTTGACGGGAATCGAACCTGGGACCTTTCGGTCTGCAGAATGACACTCTATCCACTGAGCCAAACCGGCTAGGGCCAAATCATCTTTTATAGCCATTTTTTCCCCCCTGATCTAGGATCCCAAGTTCACACACCCGAACTGGTTGTCACATCACTTGAGTATTTTAATCTACCACACTCCCCCTTCCTCCAGTCTTTTTGGCAAGAACACTCCATAGTGAAGTTATGGCCTTACTGCATCTGACAGGAGACCCATTCTAGGTACCGGTAAGCCTGATCATTAGGTTAAAGTGATAACCTCCTCCTCTCTCCCCTGGAAGGGCACAGGTTTCCTAGGTAACCTCTCGTGAGATACTTTGAAATAATGTGAGGATCCTGTTTTCCAACAACCTTTCTCTCAGAGGTTTAGTACCACGGATGAGTCCTTGTCTGAATCAGTTATGGCAGGGTTGGCATTGCACTGCTTTTCTGGCTCTCTCGTGCCTTCTATTGTGTAGTATTTGTTATTCACATAAATCCACCAGCACCTGTCCTCTGTTTCCTCAGTGTATATTCTCTCTGGTTACTTCCTGCTGGGCTTTCTCCCCACAGCCTTACTGACCACGTCTACCCCTGCTGCCTCACCCTGACCTCACCTTCAGCAAATAAAAAACGAACATAACAGCGACTGTGTCAAGCAGCAAGGATGGACCGGCTCCCGGCATGGTTACCCATATTCATTGGGTTAAAGAGAATAGATAGAGGAAATCACTTTTTTACAAGATTAGATGGCCTAAGCCCTAACAATCTTTGCTCCTCACTCGGGTAAAGCCACTTGTTCTGTCACAATCAGGCTTTCGTGATGGTGCTGAACAGAGCATCCTCATCTCTTCAGTTCCCTGATATGAGAGTCCTGGGAGAGCAGAGGTTTAGAAATCATTTACCCAGACGTCCCATTTTACATGGAGGAAGAGGCTCAGAGAGGTGGAGGGACTAGCCCAGAGTCCCTCAGCTTCTTAGAGCCAGGACAAGAACCCATCTTAAAAGCACCTGCTCCGATGTTCTTTTCATTCCCTTTCCCAGTGCCTCGTGATTCAGATGTTTAAAGGGCAGGATGAAGCCGGACCATTTCATTGCTAATTTGCATTTGGCCTGCATCACCTTTGGCTACTTTAAGTAACAATTCCCATTAGAAGAATTTTATTAATATTTTATTATTATTATGGCATTTAAAAATCAATCTGAATTTCTGCACGTCAACGGGAAATTTAAGAAGACTCAAGGGAGCACATGCTACCATTTCTTTAACCAGGAAAAATAGAAGGGTCCCGAGGACCTGCATCAGGCCGCTCTCTGAAAGCTGAAACGCCTGTGGGTGACAGCTCCGGAGATCTTAGAAAAGGACGCTAGCCGGGGTCCACCCTTCCCCGTTGCCCAAGGTAACGGTGCAGTGAGAGGCGATGCAGGGAGAGGCGCAAATCGGGCTCCAGGAGCTTGTCAAACGTTCACAGGAGAGGAGAAAGTGGGGAACAAAGCCCAGGGTGGAAAAACCCAGCCCCGCAGCCCGGGGAGGGCAGGAGACCGCGCCCTCACTGCAGCGGCACGGCGGCTGCAGAGGCTGCGGAGCCGCAGTGCAAGGCGTGGGACCCTGCCTCCCGCCCGCGTAGCCCGGTGCAGCGCTCTCCTCCGCGTAGCCCCGCGCAGCCCGCGCGGCCGGGAGGCACGAGGCGGCCCCGCTCTCCGCGCCCAGCCGGTCGGCTGAGCGCCGACGCCACGGAGCATCCTCCAGCTGCAGGAGGGCGCGGCCATCCCCGCGCCACGGACCGGGGCTGCACACCGCGCCTGGTCCGGGCTGACCCTCACCCAGCCCCTGCGCGCTCACCCGTTCGTGCGTCCATCCCGGAGCCGGCGGTGCGAGCCGTCAGTCCGTCAGCTCGGAATAGCGGGGCCACTAGCAGGGCGCGCCGTGGCCAGGCGGGCGCGCGATCAACAGGCGGCTCCCGGCCGGCGGGCACGGCGCCCGGCGCGCGGCCGCAGCGGAGCAGGCTGGGAAGCGTAGTTCCAGCGGCGCGCCGCGCCCGTGCGGAGGCGAGACCCACTGCCTGCTCCCCGCCGCCCCGGGCTCTCCATTCCCTCCCTCCCCTGCGTTTTCTCCCGGGTTCTGCGTCCGAATCCCATAAGCGCCCTGCAGGCGAGGATAGCCTCAGCCTAGGGGAAAAAAGCTGTGCAGGCTCTCTGAGAAGCTAGGGCTACAGATAGGGAGGGTGGCAAGGGCTCTTCAAGCTTGTGGGGAGCTGTTGGGTGAGTGAGCATCTTTACGCACGGGTCTTGTCAAGACCCAGTTCCGATACGGACCAGGCTCAGATACAGACCAGGCCTGCCCTAGGTTTTACTGGCTTTCCGTGGGCCTGGGGCGCAGGCGTGGGAAGGAGGAGTAGCTGGGGTACATGCTTGGGGATGGGGAGGTGAGCGAGCAGATCTGAAGTTTGGGGGCCAGGGTATCTGAGAGCCCGCGCACATGCTGTGGCTTCATTAGACGGGAGGCTGAACAACTTAGCTCTGAGAGCCTTAGTATCCTTACCTGTAAAGTAGGGTTAAAGCATGAGTTGTGAGGACCAAACGCGTAGTAGGTGCCTGTGTGAAAGCGCCTGTGTCTGGCGCTTAGCACATGCTCAATAAAGGTTCCTTCCTTGGGAGTTACAGGGATCTCCCCCACCGCACACCTTTTACCCAGAAAGCCTTACATATAATGCTAAGCTAAAGATAACTGGGCCGTGTTGGGCTGGGCAAATAAATGTTAAAACCAACCGGTTTATGGTCAGCTGTTTAGCTGGTTCACTTTATCCCTGAACATGCACCGCCGGCCGGCCGGGAGCCGCCTGTCCTCTCTGCCAGGTTCTTGGGAGCTACAAAGATAGAGAAAATACTGTCTTGTCTTTGAAGCATGGAAGTGGGGTGCGGTGACATAGGACAAATACCAAAATTACTAAAATATACGGCATAATGGGGTTACCTTCCAGAAGCTTTTTCTAGTTAGACGTGATCTCCTTTTTGAACCCTTGCTGCATACTCCTAGTGTAGCTCTTGCTTATAGCACTTAGCTGGACGGCTTAAGGTACTTTGAGTTTTGTAAGTAGCTACTATGCAGTATTTCACACTATGGTGAGATGTGCATCTCAGAGATATGGTGGAAGAAAAAAGAACTGAAGGGAAGTGCAGCATTGCTGGTGTGATCTCTGTCTGAAATAGGCAAAGGGTGAATGGAGGTAAAACAGAATCATAATCTGTCAAAACCTATGCAGTAATCATTTGGAAAAAATAAAGCAGTGCTACAGGGGAAATTTCCTGTTTACAAATAATAACACCCCTATGCATTTGTGAACATACTTTCCTATCGATTCATGTTCTTACTTGATTTTTGCAATAACCTATGAAATGCAGAGTGAAGATTTTTCTCCAGAGTTCTAGGTAGTACAGAGAGGTGATTTGACTTATTCAAGGTCAGTCAGCTGGTCATTAAGCCTAACTTTTCTCCTTCCACGCTGGGGACTCTGAGCCTTCCCCAAAGAGGCACCCTCAGCACTGTCTTTCCTTTGTGCATTTCAAAACAGAGCCATACCTCCCCCAGCAAGTGGGCTGCATCAGAAAATAAGGCGAATTGTCTAAAGCAGCGGTTCTCAACCTGTGGGTCGCGACCCCTTTGGCGGTCAAATGACCTTTTCACAGGGGTTGCCTAAGACCATCCTGCATATCAGATATTTACATTATGATTCATAACAGTAGCAACATTACAGTTATGAAGTAGCAACGAAAATAATTTTATGGTTGGGTCACAACATGAGGAACTGTATTTAAAGGGCCAGAAGGTTGAGAACCACTGGTCTAAAGCTTTTGGAACTAGCATGCTGAACAATGGCACACAGGAGCTGCTGACTGAGAAACCAGTGTGGCTTCCACTATCAACTGTGGTAACGGACAGCACCCTGGGTCTCCTCACCAGAATGACAAGTCTGAGCTTGGAAAGAGTTAAATGAAATGGAGGTGTGACCAAACCAGCTTAAATCACATTCCCATGTTTTCCTGTACATTTGTTATTCCAAACGTCCTGTGAAACAGACATGATATCTTGAATTTGTGTTGTGCATTTGTCACAAATGATAGCCTTCTGATAAATGACAGGACTGCTTACAGATCAAGCCGGCAGTTTCCCTAGAGAAAGAGAAAGCTGATGCTAGGTGTACACTGAAAATAATAAAACAATTTTATTCAGATAAAAAAGAGTAGCAAAGATTTGATATAGCAAAGATACTCAATAGTGTAAAATGTCTGTGTGTGATGAAATGAGTGGGGCATTATTCAGACAAAAACTATGAAAGGAAGCAGGCATAAAAATGATCTCTTAAGTTAAAGTCATAGTTGTCAGCCAAAGCAGAGATGCAAGAGCTGACAGCCACTGTTGACACCAAACTAAAGAAAAAGTTATGAAAAGGGACTTCTAATCAATCTTTATCTGTACTAGGAGGGCTAGAAGCTAGGAAGTGTTAATGGATGAGTGGGGAAGGTAGAACACTTAACCTTTCTATTTTTATGTTAAAATTTAATGGACAGACACTATGTTATGTTATTTGCACCAATAGAAATACTTTCCTTCTAATGATGTAATTGTTTCCTTTTCCTTTCTCATAAATACACCTTGCCTTTGTCTCCTAATTGGAACACTATCTGAGTTTCTGCCTGAATTGTGCTTCCCAAATAGCTATTTTTAAAATCTAAAATAAATGGTTATTGCCTTTCAAAAAACAAACTAACTAACTAACTAACTAAAAAAACCTTAGTGGAGAGATATCATAAGTTTCAGTCTGTTTAGTTCCTTAAATCTACATCTAAAAAATTTTAAAGGAGCCCGCCCAGTGTGGTTCAGTGGTTGAGCATCTATCTATGAACCAGGAGGTCAGTGTTGGATTCCTAGTCAGGGTACATGACTTGGTTGCGGCTTGATCCCTAGAAGGGGGCGTGCAGGAGGCAGCTGATCAATGATTCTCATCATTGATGTTTCTATCTCTTGCTCCATCTCCCTTCCTTTCTGAAATCAATAAAAATATATTTAACTAAAAATGTTTTAAGGGCCCTGACCGGTTTGGCTCAGTGGATAGAGCATCCGCCTGCAGACTCAAGGGTCCCAGGTTTGATTCCGGTCAAGGGCATGTACTTTGGTTGCGGGCACATCCCCAGTGCAAGAAGCAGCGGAATCAATGTTTCTCTCTCATCGATGTTTCTAACTCTCTATCCCTCTCCTTCTCCTTTCCTCTCTGTAAAAAAATCAATAAAGTGTATTTTAAAAAAAATCTTTTAAGGGAGAAAAGGATGTCAGCCATGCCTATGATCAGTTGAAACCCATCATTATTTCTGGACCATATCTTGTAGGTTTAAGTTTTCAATTTGCTTTTTGAAAAATGAAAAAGTAAAATTGAAACAGAATCCTAGAGCTGGAAGGAACCTGACAGATCATCTTGCCTAGTCTCCTCTTCATGAAGATAAAGAAGCTGATACATCAACAGTAAAAGTCACTTGGTAGAAAGTAAAAAATTCTGCGTGGCTGTTACAATGAAGTATTTTTGTTATTCACAATGGAAAATGTGCATACCTCATTAGAAACATGTCTTAGATACTATTGCTTGCCTACTCAACATCCATCCCATCCTATTCCCTCTTGTTTACAGAAGCCTTCAAGGTGTTCACCCAATAGAGAAGGTGACCCTATTACCATATCAGAGGTGTGCTCCCAAACCTGTCATGGGCAAGAGGGATAGGATCAGCTTGACTGGCCAGTGAGCGATTAGAGTTGGCAATGTGACCCAGCTCTGGCTAGGGAGAACTGAGGAAAGGTCTACTGAAGGCCTTCTGGGAAAGGTTTTCTTGCTCTTAAACAGAGATGTACAGGGAAATATGCCACCGTCTCCTCTGGATGTTTTTACATATGGTTGTGTTACCTGAAACTGGAATAGCCATCTTAGAACCATCAGGGGATCTAGCCTTAGGACAAAGTCAGCACACTGATGATAACAGAATGGAGAGATAGAATGATGTTGTTGTTGAGTCAGTAAGTCAATCAGCCCTGGTCTGCCCTACTTCTGGATTTCTTGTTATGTGAGATAATAAATATCCTTATTGTTGAGTCAATTTGAGATGGAGTTTTCTGTTACTTGAAGCTGAAAGCATACTAAGTGTTACAGATGAAATGTGAAAGAAAGTTCTTTGGGTGGACTGAAACACTGCTTCTTAGAGTTGATAAAAAAAACAAATAAGAACAACAAGCCACAGGCAAAAGATGGGGATATTATCATGTAATAGATAGAAGTACAGGTTTTAACATTAGACAGACCTGGGTTTGAACCCAGACATTTACTGCCTGGTTGACTGTGACCAAGTTCTTTTTTCTTTTCTTTTCTTCTTTTTTTTTTTTTTTTAACATTTCTATGCCTATTTTCTTCATCTTTAGCCTGGGTATAATAACACCATACAGAGTTGTTATGCAGATTAAATTAAATAATTTGTGTCAAGTATGCTACAAAGAATATGGTAAACACTATAGCATTGGTGATTGTGTTGATGAACCATGAATTAAGTCATATTTATAGTGTAATTGGCAGCAAGCATCTAAAAGCGAATCACTATAATACTGATCATGTTAAGTGACATCACAGTAATGCAATTTGCAAAACCCAGAACGTGAGAAAATCTACAAGACAAACAGCTCATTTCTTCAATAAATAAATTGCAAGAAAAGTAAAGAGGGAGAGCTTATAGATACATAGAAACAAGAGAGAAATAACCAGTGTAGTGTGTAGATTTTTATTTGAGCAAAGCAACTATTTAAAAAATCACATTAGAAGCCCTGGCCCGTATGGCTTGGTTGGTTCAATGTAGTCCCTTGCACCAAAAGGTCCCGGTTCAATTCCAGTCAGGGCAAATATCTAG